TCTTTCAAACATTGAAAAATTTTCTTATTTACATTCAGTGTTGGAGGGAGAATCGAGAAGTGTAATTGCCTGTACACCGCTTAGGGAAAATACCTATATGATTGCTTATAATGCATTAATAACTCCAATCCGCGAATTGAAGCTAATGCTTATTGGCAAGAAATTGAATCTAGCCCTCACATGTCAGTCGAAAATCCAACTCAACTAAGAAAGTTGATTGATATTTTCGAAGAAAATGTTGCAGCGCTTGAGGCTTTAAACTATCCAACGAAACATTGGGATTTCATTCTTTGTAACATGCTCAAGAAAAGGTTAGATCCTCTTACTGAGTCTCGCTATGAATTAGAGCTTAATGTTAAATCAATAACGAATCCCGTTTTTTCTCATATGATAGATTTTTTGACCAATCACTGTAAGGCTTACGAAGCGTCATCATTAGCTATTATCCGCTCTAAACATAAAAATTTTCGCACGAATCGCGATCAAAGACCTTCTAGTTCCAGAAATTCATCCTCGTTCATAGCAAACACCCAAGTTTCTGGAAACAGATATTGTCCTTTATGTAAAAGTGAACACGCTCTTCATAAATGTTCCTCATTTTTAGATAAATCGCCCAAAGAACGGTATAATATTGTGAAGCAGAACAAATGGTGTACAAATTGTTTGAGTCATACACATTCTAAGAAAAAATGTTCTTCATCTAACACTTGTCGCTATTGCCAATCAGCATTTCATCATTCCACGCTACATTTTGAGAAACCGCTATCAAATATTGAATCACATAATTTAAATGAATCTGCAAGTCGTAATATTGCAAGTTCTTCGAACATTTCAAATCCTGACTCCGGCCCTGCAGTTCTTACCACGAACCTTGATCAGCACAGTGTTTTACTAGCTACTGTGCAATTGAGAATTTTGGATTTCCGAGGAAATTTACACGTTGTTCGAGCGCTGGTCGATAGCGGCTCGCAGGCAAATTTTATTTCGAAGCAATGCGTAAATCGTTTGGGATCGAAAGTTTTCAAGTCGTCAATTTCTGTGTTCGGTATCGGAAACATGACCACTCAAGCATCGCTAGGCGCTGTCAACTGTACTATTCAACCTTTATCATCGAGTCAACCGTCTTTAACACTAGAGTTCATTGTTTTGGAAAATATTAGCTCAAATATGCCTACATTTTCGATAGATCCTTCTTCATGGAATTATATTGAAAATATAAATTTAGCTGATCCGCATTTTTTCAATCCCGCACAAATCGATTTGCTGTTAGGTGCAGATGTTTTTCAAAGAATTCTTTTGGACGGACGAATTAGAGGTGACGAAAATTTACCTACCGCTCTCAATACATCATTTGGTTGGATTTTATTTGGCAAAGTGGGTGAAGTTCAACAAAAAAATGTAAATTCGTTTTTGAATATTGTCGAAATGGCTCGATTAGAAAACGCAATAAAGAAGTTTTGGGAATTAGAGGAGATTCCTAATAAGCCAATAATTTCTGAAGAGGACAAGATGTGTGGAGACATTTCCTTGAAAACTACTATCCGCACAGATACTGGTAGATTTATGGTATCTCTTCCCTTCAAAGAAACATCCAATTTAAAATTCGAAAATTCTCGGGAAATCGCTCTTAGACGATTTTTTAGTTTGGAAAACCGTTTACATCGCGAAACGGACTTGTGTGTTGAATATAGTAAAATTTTTTCAGAGTATATCGAATCAGGTTATATGGAAAAAATTCCAGATTCCGAATTAAATGCTTTTCCCTCATATTATATTCCACATACTTGTGTATTCAAGCCAGACAGTTCTACATCAAAGGTCAGAGTTGTTTTTGATGCGAGCACCAAGTGTTCAAATATTTTTTCTCTAAACGATGTATTAATGAAAGGGCCTAAATTACAAAAAAATATTTCAGCCATACTTTTGAATTTTCGTTTACACGCCATTGCTTTTATATCGGACATCAGTCGCATGTACCTTAGAATTTTGATTAATTCCGCTAATAGAGATTTTCAGAGATTATTTTGGAGATTTACTCCCCAAGAATCTTTAATAGAATATCGACTATGTACTGTTACTTTCGGAGTTAGCCAATGACGAAAGTTTGAGATTTCCTTTGGCGTCCCGAATCTTATTATCCGATAGCATTTATGTTGATGACGTTATTGGCGGTTGTAACAACAGAATGCATATGCCTCTTGTTTATATGTAAGAGTTATTAAGAATGATAACATTTCAGTATCACTTCTGAGTGCAAAATCGAAAGTCACTCCAACCAAACCGCTGTCAATACCTAAAATTGAACTATCCGCTGCTTATTTATTATCGAAATTAGTTGCTTTCGTTTTGGAAACTTATTCAACTAAAATTAAATTTAACCAAGTTTACGCTTGGACCGATTCATCAATCGTTCTACATTGGATGAAGTCTGATCCTAACAAATATAAAACTTTTGTAGCAAACCGCATTTCTATGATTCAAGAAAATATTTCTCCTAACTGTTGGCGTCATGTGACCTCCGAGGATAATCCCGCAGACTGTGCATCTCGTAGTTTGCTTCCTAAAGACCTAGTTGATCATCCGCTGTGGTGGACTGGTCCACCATGGTTATGTAAGCCAGAATCTGAGTGGCCTTTACAAAAATTCAAAATATGTATAGATGATCAGGAAGAACGTAAATCAACTCTGATAGCTTTTACTGAAGCAAATTTTTTGGAAGAAATTTTAAATAGATTTTCTTCATTAGATAAAATAAAACGAATTTTAGCATATGCTAAAAGGTTTATTTACAATTTGAAAAACCGCTAAAGAAAGTAGTTGGACATAGTTTTAGTGAAGTCGAATTACAGGAAGTCCTTGTTGTTCTAGTAAATTTCACTCAATCATCAGTATTTGCAAATGAAATTTCACAACTGAAAACTAATAAACCACTGCCTAAATATATGAGAAAACTCAGCGCGTTCATTGATGAACACGGATCTTTAAGGGTTGGTGGCAGATTGAATAACTCTCTTTTGAATTATGATAAAAAGCACCCATTGCTTTTACCAAGTTCGAGTAGACTAACTGATTTAATTATTGAACATACGCATAAAATGAATTTACATCTTGGATTGCAAACTTTACACTTTCTTCTATTACAAAATTTTTGGATTTTGTCACCGCGTCGCACGATTTCGAAGGTTTTGAGTAAATGCTTTCAATGTTGGCGTCTCAAACCTAGATGTTTACAACCTCCTATGGGGGATCTTCCCGCAACTTGAGTATCACAAGTAAAACCGTTTTCGGTTATCGCTGTCGATTTTTGTGGCCCGTTCAATATTACATTAGTCAGAATCCGCGGAGCTAGAACTTTCAAATATTACATTTGTGTTTTCATTTGCTTTGCTACGAAAGCTGTACACTTAGAAATGATATCGGACATGACAACGGAAGCTTTTTTGGCGGGTTTGCGCCGATTCATGGCGAGACGTGGACGTTGTTCTCATGTATTCAGCGATTGCGGACGGAATTTCGTTGGAGCAAATAAATATATTTTGGAAATAATGAAAAACGTTACTGAAAGTGAGAAAATTATCTGGTCTTTTCATCCTCCAACTGGTAGTCATTTTTCGGGCTTAGTTGAAGCAGGAGTTAAGTCTTTTAAAACTCATCTTGCGAGAGTAATTGGTTCTTAAATCCTCACCTTTGAAGAGTTACATACATTAGTAATTCAAATTGAAGCGTTATTGAACTCTCGACCACTTTACCCGCTAAGTACGGACCCCAACGATCTATCAGTTTTAACTCCGGGGCATTTCTTAACGAAAGAACCCCTAACTTCCAGATTATGATTTGAAACATTTGAAATTAAATTGTCTATCTCGATGGCAATTGTTGCTGAGAATGCATGCTGATTTCTGGGCCAGATGGCACCAGGAATATTTAAGTACTCTACAACAAAAAAATAAATGGACTTCTCCTGATTCTCCATTGAGGGTGGGTGATTTAGTTTTAGTAAAGCAAGATGATATGCCGCCCTTACAGTGGCGTACCGCTAGAGTTTTAAATCTGTATCCTGGCTTGGATGGAGTATCTCGAGTAGCGACAGTCAAAACCAATAGTGGTATTTATAGGAGACCTGTTAACAAGTTGTGTCCCCTTACCACTGCTTAGTTTGTTGAATATAATTCAACAAAAGTGGGGAGAATGTTACAGTTCTCTTTATTGTGTATGTCCTTAAATGTTAAAACCTTGATAATATTATGGTCGAAGCAAATTTCTTTTGTTTTTTTTTTTATTTTTCAATTGTTCTTGTATTCAAATATTTCGCGCTGATGAAATGACTTCCACGATTCTACACATGCGCGAGATGGAGCAGACCAAGTCAGTCTTGAATTGACCACCGCAAAGGAACGAAGTTGTTTTTTTTTCGTTCGTGAATACCCGCTAATTATAATACCCGCTTATTATCTACGTTTTGCAAGTTTGAAAGTCTTCCAGAAGCTGACGAAGACGCTCCGAACGGTTTCATCAGGTAGGTGGAAGTCTTTCCCGATTTTTAACTTAATTAATTTTTTTGAGTTTAAAAATAAAGTCAAGTTTACTATTTTCTGAACCAGCACTTTGCTGTCCATTACCGCTTTGTATGAACAACCACATAAAAAAATAAGTAGTGTGGCTGACAACTGCATGATATGTTGACAACTTTTTGAAAAGTAGTATGAACCAGAATCATAAACATTACTCCCAGTGCATGAAACAAATTTCAGATTATGTGCAACACTCTGTTTTGAGCTGTACCACATTAAACTTTTGTTCATTTTTGTTCCAGATATCACTGACAGATTTAATATTTCAAATGAAAAAATTCTGCATGTTTCTATAATAACAATAAACTACGTGCTTGTAGAAAAGATGAATCTCCCAGTGAGTCTATTTGATAAAATGCAATAAGCTCATGATACTCCAGTTTTAAAAATTGCACCCAAGCAGCAAAAATGATTATTAGATATACTCACTTTATTTTTCTTACTGGCAATCTCAGGAGGTTTCATTAGACCTTGCAATATTTTCAAACACGGCAAAATTACAGATTCCATAACCAAAGGACTACGTGAGTTTTCACATGCTTTTAAAAATAGTTCCATCATACACCTCAATTTCAATTCCCAACAGTCATCTTCCTTCTGCACCATGGCAGCCAACAACGATATTTCATGATGTACACTCGTTCCCAAATCCGAACTATTAACATGCCCATTGAGACACAAAGTGATTCTTTCCATAAGAAGATTGCAGAGTTCTTCTGTGGCCGTTGGATTGTCTTTGGTGAGGACACACAACAATTGTCTCACTTCTTCCTGATTATGAACACTTCCTTTGCGTAAATTGTTCCACACTAACTCCTGAATAAGTCCTTTTTCACAAAGCACTTGCCTGGTGGTCTGGCTATGAGATAAAGCTCTGAGGAGAGTAAGGCAGTGTTCTGTAGCAGAAGTAGAACATCCATAGCACCGATTATGGACACAAGGTGAAATTGAAGAATCACCAAGAATAGGCACTGATCTAGGAAGTTCCATATCTCTGCAAACAAATGTTAATTGGTTTGAATTGAATAGAACTGGCCGATAATTGATGAAAATCCATATTAAAACTAATTAATACAGTTAATTGTATGATTTTTACAAAAACCGCAACACGTGTTTCGCTAAACAATAGCTTTTTCAAGTGTAAACTGTTTACGCTTGAGAAAGCTATTGTAAACTGTTTACGCTTGAGAAAGCTATTGTACAGCGATAGCGAAACACGTGTCGCGGTTTTTGTAAAACCCTTTATAGTGAAAATCATACAATAAACTGTATTAATTAGTTTCAATTGATTTTGATTCATTTACAAAACAAATAACAATGTGTAAACCTATCTCAATTGCCACCAGGACCCTATTTGAAACTTTGCTCTTAAACTCAAATTCTATTATTACAAATTTTTTATACAAGAAATAAAACTATGAAGTATAATAAATTGGACGCAAATAAAGGCTGCTGAAAATTGGTTTTCTAGTCTTTCCTAACAATATCCTGTACCATGAAATATTCAAGAAACGCTTTTTCACTAAACAGTTTTACAAAAACATTTTCTTCAAGAAGTGAAAAACGTAATGTTTGCGTTCAATCAAAAATATCTTCTGTTTGAATAGCTTGCACTCAGTACAATAGAGAGCTATGAAAAAATGAGTAGCCCGCAATTTCTCAAGATTTGATGATTTACTTTCTACAGTTTCAATTCTTTTATACTAATACTAAATAACCATTTTCACAACTAATAAGCTGTATCTTGGAAAAAAGATTACTGGCTTTCCACTTCTCCATCATTAAACAAAACAGGTGGGAAACTTCCAAAGAAAATAAGAAGAAATAATTACAATACATTTATTTTACTAAGATATGCAGGGCAAATACAAAAGTTCATTTCAGATACAAACTGAAAAAATAAATCCTTTTCAAAACAATTACTTCCATAGAAACATTACATTACACAAAAATCAGTTTTTCCCATCCGATTTGTACTACAGACATTCGTTATGGAACTGAAACAGATATCATTCATAGGACCACTACACAATGTGATATATTGAGTATCAATATAAAATAATATAATTGAATAGAACTGGCCGATACTTGATGAAAATCCATACTACAATTAGCTCATACAGTTTATTGTATCATTTTCACTATAAATTTGGCTATATTTTATAGTGGAACACGTGTCGCGGTTATTGTAAAACCCTTCAAAGTGAAAATGATAAAATAAACTGTAATAATTAGTTAAAATAATTTATTGTGATGCAATGAATACACTGACCCGTTACTTGATGAAAATTAATACTATCCATGATAATAATTATACAATTGGACTGGTACATACTAGTAAAATTGATAACGTTACCATGTAGCAAAACGCGTTTTACATGAAATGCATTGTGAAAATTGTATAATTATCAACATGGATAAAATTGAGTATCGATATAAAATATCACTTACATAGAACACCATCATCCTCAAGTCGTAATGTTACATGAAAAAGAATGAGTGCTTCGTCTTGTAATGTTATCCAAAACGGTACTGATGAAGTGATAAGACAAGTGTCTCGTCCCGAAACTTCAGAGTACACCATTGAGAATGATAGTGTTCTATAAAAGTGACATCTTATATCAATACTCTTTCATATTTCACATCATGTAGAGTTAGTTAGTCCTATGAAAGATATTTGTTTCAGCTCCAATACGATTGGATTGTTAATGAAAAAAATTATTTTCGTATAATTCAAGGTTCATATGTTTTAAGAATTCCTCTCAAATTTCATTAACTTCCTTATATCTAGAACATCTGGAGCTCAATTCATTCTCTGAAAAGCTGAATATTTTTGTGAATATCAAGCGAATTGTGAATTTATACTAAAAAAAGTTATTAGTTTCCTTTCAATCATATAGTGATGCTTGTTGATGAGGTTTGATGCGATGTTATCATTTCCATCTATATTTATTATTGTGAGCAATGTGCGGATTCCCTAGATTGAAAATAGAAAAAATCTCGTTGTATTAGGTAGAAGCACCTCAATTTAATAAACTACAATATATGTTTATATCTTTTTGTCTTTACAACAAACCATAAGCATAAGCAAACCATGTCAACAAACCATAAGCAATTACACATGAATGATTAGCTAGGTTATTTAAAACTGAAATTAAGATACTATTTGAAATAACTTTAATGCACATTAATATTGATGATGAGAAACAATTTAAAATATCTTACCTATGCTTCCTATCATAAGCTACCAACTCCTTTCTTGAAACCAACACTTTCTGAATGATCTTGCTGAGTTCTTCAAACGATGACTTACATTCATTGCAATATTGCTGCGCCAACATCTGTATGGTTTTGTTCACTTTTAGTTGGGAAGAGTTATTTGAGGCTGCGATAGTCTCTTCCAGTCTCTTATCAGATCTATGCTCTGTTATTTTCAATACTAGGGATTCCAAAGTGGGTTTATTACCAATGAGTTGTTTGTAAACTCTATCTGCCTTTTCCAATAAAGTATTTATACTGGATACAGTCTTTTTACGATCATCATCACTCTCTATAGGTTCAACAGCACAGCAAGGTTTGGCAAGAAGACTGAATTCAAATTTTGCATACTTGCAGTAGCCACAGGAGTGGCATAAGAATGGGTCTTTCTCATCGTAATTGATGGCACGACATTTGTGACATTGGAAAACATTTTCGCCACAGTTGGCACACACGCCTGGATTCGCTGGAACTGAAGTACTGCATCTTGGACATTGCAGTGTTTCTGATGACGCTTGAATATTTTCATAGAAATCGGAATACTCTATCATAAGATTACATGCTACTATAGGTAGAGGAAACTCTATTTTGACTTCAGTCTGTCCTGATTGTAGGACAACTTTTTTTGCTTTATGCCACAGAGCCGGTTTATTTTTCAGTTCTACTATAGCCTGAACCGGCCTATTATTGTAATATATATTTACAGTTCTCACCATCTTAGTACGCTTCAAATCTGCCAGTTTTATAGTAATTTTGCTGATAGTATGACTAGAGAGGAGTTTGACGATTTGAGTAGTGGTGGTGAATTTCGAATCAACCTTGACAGAGGCCAATTTTACTGTGGAGAAAGGAACTTCTGGATTGTTACACACTAAGCAAGGTTCTGATTCAAGATAATATCCATCCAAATCTACAAATTGACTCATATGAGCATACAGATTGGCATTTGGGTGGTGGGCTAACAACTGGTTTTGGGCTCTCAGAACGCTTACAGCACGTTCAACGTAGTCAGGAATCTGAGGTATTCCCTCTGCCTTTTCAGTGAATTTCAGTGAAAAGTAGCCGAGCAGATCAACAAACTGAGCTGCTTTTCTACCATATGCTGGCAACAGAGGCCACAACTTCCACAAAAGTTCCAAAATAGTTTCTTGATCTTTAGGTTTCGAATTTTTATATAGAGATTGGACCAAAGCATGTGCTTGCCAGCGAACTGCTGTAGTGTTAGTTTCTAGCATAAACGTTTTCACAAACCTTGCAAGGATCTCTTTAGATATTTGTTTATTTATTTGTTCTACTAATGCTATGCAGCTTGATTCTTCAAACAAAGCTTCTATTGCAGAGTCATCCGATTTTTCACGTTCTTTTCTTGTGGTTGATTTGGTGGAATCAGACTTCTTGGCAATGAAAGGACTGACAACCAATGCACTTTGCAAAAGTTGCAAAATTGTAGGAGAGACACCATCATCCAACAAAAAACTAACACGAAGTAGAAATTGTATAACGTCTTCTTCTTTGATGCAAAATCTTTGCCAGTTACCTGTACGACTTTGAGCAACTTCCACACAATATTTAAGATGTTCAATGAGTTCAACTAGTGAATCATATGGTAGACTGAGAGCGTGTTGTATATCCTCAGAAGGCTTGTAACCGCCTTTTGCACAGCATTCTCTTACACCTTTCATATGATTTCTCAAACCATGCAAATCTCTCAGCTGGCGATATGTTTCCTTATTTCCGCAAATGAACATCAGTAATTTTCTGACTTGTCTTCTCACAAACGGTGTTTGAGATGTCATCATGTAATCACAAAGATGATTATACCATGACTTGTCAAAAGCTTTACTGACTGATTCTGATATTTCAGAATGTCGATGTGCCTGGTATGGCAAGCGAAGTGCTATTTCTGTCAATAGTTGAGGGTAGGTATGAAAAACATCATGATTATCTTTGACAAATTGTCGTTGAAAAAATGGCGTCATATCTGGAGGAGGGTGCGGCAAGTGCTCTTTGAGAAGATTACCGGTAACAGTATTTGAGTTGTCGTCATTTGAAGATGAACGCCAATATGTTAAGAGAGACTGCAAGAGCTTGTTACAATAATTGATAATATCTGCTTTATGTAAAGCTGTAGCTGTTGTACGTGAGACAAACATTGAATTATCTGTTAGAGGAGTTTTGCTTGATATTGAAGAGGAAGTTTTGCACCTTTGCATGAAAACACCTGAAAATAAATATCCGAATGTATTTTTTCAGTCTCTAGATATTTGTCAAAGTTGTACTGAATAATTAACATGGATTTTTGATATGATGTGTCAAATTCATTTTGAGCAAAAGATTCGTTTTTTGTTAAAGGTTTACCCAAACCAACAAATATTCGTATTCATAGTGTTTACAATAATGATTTTTTTCAAAAATGTATGAAGGTGTTACATAAAATTTAAATCGTGCAGAAATATATTCAACTGCAAATCATACATTTAATAATAATAAAATTTAACTCATGTCATGTACAATTGGATATTATACTGATATCAATGTTCTCAATAAAATTCGAATCAAATAAACCAATTAACTGAATGAAGTGAAAAATTATATATGGATATGCTTTATGAGGAGTGAAATATATAGTTGTTTTTAAAGATTATTTGTAATCAATTAGGGAGAATATAAAATAAGGTGTCGGACAAATAATCTGATAATTGAAATGTTCAAGAAATTTGAAATATTCTTAATGATTCTTTACAAATAATATTTGAGAAACCTGCATGTACCAAAACTTTCAAGTTCAAGTTCTTTAACCAACTAAAATAAATATTGAACTAACAAAACCTTTTTAAAGAGAAACCCATTCAGATTTTAATTATTCTAACATTATATTTTTCAAATGTCCATTCAAGTTCATCCCCTTTGATGTTGAGAAAATGACACCTTGCCTAGAAATAGAAGAGGGCTGAATTAAAAATTGTCTTCAAAGTACTGTGGGTGGAACTTTCAGATGAAAACGTACATTGTATGAGAATGGAATATGGGGAATTTTTTAAGAAGGAGTGGCATTTGAAATAGAAAAGTTCAAAGCAACACTTTTTTATAAATTAGCTGAACGATGTCAAGTGAATCATAATGACAACTGAAACTTCTAACTGAATAAACTTCTTTATCACTTACTCAGTAATCTCAGCAAAACTAACTGAACCTCTTTCTGTTTTGTTCTTATACAAACATCTTCCACTTGATCTTTGTTGAGCTGTAACTCTGCAATAATGGTCAATAACAAAGAGTTAAGGCAGGTTCTATCTCGATCACAATGTCCATCTAAATCTGTGGTCAACTGTAGAACAACCTAAAAAAGAAACAATAACAATGAAAAATTTCCGAAATTGACACATAAGTTATTTACCTGAAGAAATGGAATTGATCTCACTCCATCAACATTTTTGAGTTTAGGCAAATATTCTATGAGCTTTTCAAGCAATTGCAATCTTAAAATGTGTAGTCTGCTGCTGTTTTCAGTTTCGACTTCCACTTCCTCTTGTTGAACAGTTTCACTCTCTGCCGAGCCTCCTGCAGCATTTGCTATAGAACTTGTATCAGATCTGGACACAAGCGTTATTGCTTCCTGCATGTTATCTCCGTAAGCTGAAGATCTTCCGGACACATTGTGTTCTCCAGTAATACTCTCTACACCGCTGCCTCCGCTTTCAGATCCAGCACTTCCTCCCTGTTCTGCTGGAGAAGTGCGTAACGTTGAACCGTCCGTTGCAGCCGTAGATCCCTCATCATCGGAACCAGCCGCAGAGGCTGTGGTATCGCTAAAGTTGGCAGCTTCCTGCGCTTGCGCTGATTGGCCAATCGGATGACCAAGTACGTCATTACCGAGTTGAACTTGAAGGCTTTGTAGGGCTTGATTTTGTTCGCCACCTATATCATGTTCCTTAAAAAAATAGAAACAATTATCATTATTTTTATATACAATTTTATGGATTTTGTCCGAAATTATAAAAAAGTGAATGATTTTAGAACGCTTTGTATTATATTGAGAAACGGGTTTTATCGAAATCAATAGCCCAAAACCTCTTTTATGATTGGTCAGAATTCAAAGGGATGATATCTATACTTTTCGATGTTATTTAGTTTCCAACTGTACCTAGCATCTTCATAAAAAAATGAATAACTCAGGAACGGTTATAGTTAGATACAAAGTATCTTATACGAAATTATATTATTTTGTCCTGACCTATTAAAAAATGTAACGAATTACAGGGTGTTCTATTTGAAAAAACACTTCGCCACAGATTAAATACAGATGCGAAAGCTAGGTCTCCCGCCAGAAGTTAAAACCACCTGTAAGTGCACGCATGTGCACTTACAGGTGGTTTTAACTTCAACCTCTTTTTTCACTTTCCACTCAACGTTCCTTTGTTATTGTTTACAACTTTTATTTCAGTAGGAACTGTTTGTGTTGTTCGTGGTTGTTTTACAAAAACTCTGGAAAATACAAGGTTGTTCAGAATTCAAGAGAATTCTACAAGGTAGGTAAATGTTAATAATTTTCATTTCTCAGTATTATCTCAACGCAGTTTTTTGAACATTGTATTTATAATCATTTGGAAATGTCCCATGCAAATAAATTGATACTTTGTTAATGTTTTTTTAGGGCTGCTTGTTGGCTACGGTTATGTAACAGAGGATTTATTAGGTATTCATGCCTTGCATAGAAACTATACGGTATGTGAAAAACATTTTGCCAAAGACGTCATTTCTCAATCTGGAACTCGTAAACATCTATTCCAAAATGCAGTTCCAACCATATTTCCTCACAGTGCCACTAAGCACATCTTGGAAGTTATCAATGATGATAATTGTGAAGGACCTCCTAAGAAAATTGCTGTCTTGGATGGTGAGTACCATTTTGCATGTTCTTAGTACATATTTTTTTGACGGATACGGATACCTACGTTGTGTCCCAAGTTTACATTCACATATAGTCAGTGGGCATACTTGAAGACTGGCTATAAATCAAATTATCTAAGAACAATTCGTTCAGGCCAGTCTCAACTCCCTACACAGTAGGTTAATGGACCGACACCTTTCAGAAAACAACCACTCCCCTGGCTAATACCACGAAGAGCGTTGGGTTGTATCCGACAGGTGTCAGTGCAGGATTCTTCACAGAAGTCATTCCTGCATATGCTGTTGGCGATACAACTGAAAGAGTCGACCTTCAATTTTGGAACGGGCACACTTGCAGACTGGTTTCGGGCTCATTAGCCACTCATCAGTGCAAGATAGTGGCCATCATCGACCTAAAGTCAATGATATTCCATAATTGAAAATCAGAATTCTTTCAGAGTATTTCATTCCTCTTCCTAAGTTGGAGCGAACAACAAAATGTCACTCAATCTAGTGGACGACGTACTAACCAACTGTGAAGATTCCTGCACTGACTCCTGTCGGATATAATCCAACGCCCTTCGTGGTATTAGCCAGGGGAGTAGTTGTTTTCTGATAGGCGTCAGCCCATTCAACTTACTGTGTAGGTATATTCGAGACTGGCTTGAACGTTTAAAGTTCATTTCTTTAGATTTGTTTACTGCCAGTTTTCAAGCATAGCCCATAGAAAATATACAAAATGATTAAAAATATTCCTAATTTTTATCAAATTTCACTATTGAACTTAATTAAGGATATCTACTCATCTCTGTAATCAAATTTGTCAATATGCGAGTTTCTTATTTCATTATAATGTACCATAAAAATACCATCACTTTTTCTGTGAACAGCAAAAGCATGTTTTTTTCAGTGTACATTAAGAGGAAATAGTTGAAATCAACCAAACCTTTTTCTCCGTGTATATCGAGGTGGTATACACATCATATTCAAGGTTACAAATTTTGAGCCATCAAACATCAAAGCTTTCGGATCTGTATTTAATCTGTGACTTCGCTATGTCACACTTTTTTGAGCCATCCTGTAGACTCCAAAATCATTTACTTCTGCAGCCTAATTCAAAATACATTTAATAAAATGGAGAAAAATCCGAAAAAATTAATGGATTGATTTACAGGGACTGTGTCGTATGGGGTGCCCCACCATGAATATCAATTTTCCCTATAAAAAAAACTCATAAATAGAACATTTTTCTTTGTGAAAAATACATTCAATTTGAGCATTAACTTATTGGGGTAAACTGAAATGTTTGCCCTTTCTACATCCGTAGATGTGGGAAGTGAAAAAAACCCCACGAAAAATGACTTTCCAAAATTTTCACGTAGTTCTTATACAATGATAATCCTCTATAGAGACGGGGATAGTATGTAGGAATTAAAGAACTTGAAAATGTTTTAAATTGGTGTGATTTTTAACAAAAATACAAGGAATAGCTCAACATAGTGAATAGTATTTTATTTCATATGCATTATTTTCAACCCTAATTGGATAATCAATTGTATGGTTTCGAACAGGCTTCCAAACTCAATGAAAAAAAGAATATTTCAGTTATGTTAGATATGGCACTAGTTTTTACTTGCTATCTTTATATATCTCATTGGTCTCCAATATTGGTCAATTCCAACACATATATTCTACTTTAACAATGTAAAATTAGTGCCCAATAAGGCTAATATTCTATTCTCTACAAATCTCAAATATTTTCTGTAGATCTTGAAGAATGTGGGAGATGAGTCCTCTTCGATAATTATCAATTTCTTCAACTGTTTTGGAGTTGGGATAGATATCGATTTTAGGCTAAAAATAGTGAAATGAGACAGATGACACTAATGACAGGATATTTCATTTTTTCTCTGCAGGGAATTTAACTTATCAAATAATGAATTTGGAGTCCATTCTGAAGTGATACAATGAAAAAATATGACCAACTCTGGTCAAGAAAGTTCACATTCTTTGATCAACTGCCTTTACGAAAAGGAGTTTGTTACTGCTTATAATTGATTCGTTGGAGTATCATATAAAGTCAATACTGAACTTTTAATGCTTTCTTATAACCAGTAGGAATTTTGTTGAACCTATTTTTAAAGCATAATACCCATAATATTTAATAAATATTTGATACTAATGAGAATGTGACAATCCAAAATAAAAATGCTACCTGCTTCTGTTGATTGATTTCTAAACGATCAATTTCCATAATTTTTTCATTAGGTGAACCAGTACTATAAAAAATGCTTAAAACGCTCTAAAAGCAATTACTGTGCAAAAAAGTTGATATACAATTCTATTTCACTTACCTGGAGACTTAATGCTATAGCTAATTCTACCATGGCCTCATCATCAGCGTCTGGAGGAATATCGAGTAAAGGTGGAAAACCCATGCCGCCTCCTAGTAGAGCCTCAAGAGGATTAACGTTATGATTATCCTGTGCATGAGCAGGCTGTTCTAGCAGCCCTATTGCTTCAACAACATCGACTTCATATTGGTTTGGCTGATTTGACCTTGCCTCATCGTCTTGTCTCAACTGGATAGAAGCTGTTGTGACTTTTGCTAGAATCAAACAGATTTTCTTTAGAGGTCACTTATAGCTATACTAGATATTGAGGAATATTGCTTCATATGTTTTGTCGAGCGGATACAAAGGCAAATCTTCATTTTTAATAAGGGGTCAAGGTCTAAGAGACTTTTTGTCTACATAATTTTAAGGTTGGTTCCAAAAGTTAATTCAGAAGTACTTAATATATTAAATTTTTGAATGGAACAGACTGAAATATATAATTTTCAGATATTTGATAAATACAAACGATCTTAATTTATATAGAGTTCCAATTGATAGAGAATTTTTTTCACATGTACATTAAAGAAGATTTATCAAAATTCAATGTTAATTTATGAATTTGTAACACAATGAATTCAATTATTTGAGATCATAGCTTAGGCATTGCTCTAAAGATGAAAATAAAAAATATACTCACATTCATCAGATTCATTGTTCTTGACAGGCGGTGGAGAAACACAATGAGGAGGGCTTGGAATGAACACTTTCCTCCTTTTCGTTTTAGGTTTCAATACTTTACTCAGAGCTTGTTTTGCACTAAATGCTATCAAGGGATCTTTGCACAATAAGAGTTGCAAATAAACTCCTATTGTTATATTGCTGTACGTATCACAACTGTTAAAAGCGTGAACGATTTCTACGAGAGCATGAATCACTTGTTCGGTGTGTTTCAAGCCTTGGGAGACAGCCAATGAAAGAGCTGGTATTTCAGGATTTGAAGAGTGCAATAGCCACAGAACCTCCATGAGTTGTAGTAGAATGTGTTGATTTTTTTCTTTGGCTTCTTTATTTTTCCGGTTTTTAGACTCGGCTGAAAATAATCAGGAAATATAACTGTTACTTTGATATCATAGCTGATATTTTATCAACAATATTAGTATTCACAATTGAGCTTGAATTCACTAATACAAGTTGATTTAATAGCTGTTCATGACTCAACTGATAAAGTAATAAGTTGTAATAAGTAATAATATAGATAGATATATTATAAATAAATATACATATTTTATGAATCTAATAACTTGATGCTGCCAGCTGAAATTTCATGACTAGGAATATCAATTAATGAATGAATATAAAAATATATGTTTATTTTGATCCTTTGATTTTGATCCTTTTTTCACTTAAATTTTTTTTTGAAATATTGATTTGGATAAAGAACATCAGGTAGTATAATGTGAAAAATCCAGACCCCATTAATATAAAACATACTTTTGAATGATGGATAATATTTTTCACGATATATTTTCATCAACAGAATATATAACCATCCAGATGAATTTAAAATAAAGGCATTTAGCATAGGCATCACATGAAAAAAAAAGTATAAACTCATAAATAGAATTTAAATGGATGACACAACTGAAAAAAATAAACATTCGATAGTAGATTTCCTACTAGAGAAAGTGACAAAAATGAGCAATTATTTCTAAAAAAGTTCAAAAAAATGTATCCCTGAGATATTACTCTGGAGAATAGTTGAAGAAAGACCACACATTTCACTGAATTCAAAAGATATCTTTCAAACTATGTCATGTAAAACAAAGTGGATAAATTTGGCTGAATCCTTTTAATTTCATTTAATTCTACAATTTTTTTTTCTCTCTATAAACATGTATATCTCTTCTAACACTAATTGAAAGTGTAATTGGTAAAGATTTTTTAAAATAGGAATCGTTGAAAAATCTTTTTAAATGTTTAAGGCATGATAATTTTGTGAAGAAATTCCCTATATTCAAATGAATTTTACAATAGTTTTCATTCAGTGTATTGTTTGTGAAACTTTACTAGTTATGGCTCAAATGAATTAATCACTAGAACGCCTAGGCTAGCGAAAAAAATTATTGTTATTGATTTATTTGATTCATCCATGACCTTTTTCAAATCGCAGGTAAAACATTACCATAGAGTAAGAAGAAACTGCTGATTATTATTAATTTAAAATTGATACTCATCTATTTTTGGTATTTCTTTTTTCTGTCACACTATTTATATGTTTATTGTAAAATAGCATGTCTATAAATGAATAACTATGCATGGCACGAAAAAAACTTCCAATTTTTACTCTTTATTTTTTACAGTGATTGTTGAGTCGACAGTAATATTTCAATTCTTCGTAAATTATCTTACCTGTACCATCTTCCAAAGGATCATCTAAAACCACATCCTGAATTGATGTATGACTATCTGCAAATTTCACCAAATTTTGTGGTCTTGATACGGCAATACCTCTCACAATCAAAACAAGTCTATAATAACTCTCAGCATCCAAATCTGCAACTCCCGAGCTAGTCATGGAAGTAAGACTTGCCAAAACATGTTGTAATAATGCATGATCTTTATAGTTATGATATATCAAGCGCGTCGAGTGGAGGGACGATAAAAGTGCCTTGGAATGAATTTGAACCGAAGGTTGAGTAGGCATTGTGAGAAGTTGAGTAGCAACTTTGAGGGTTGTTGGTTTGAAAGTAGAAAGTTTCTCTTCTGTCGAATATAAAGAAAATGTTCCTTCTAAAGATTCTAAAATACCCACGACAAGCCTGTAAAGAAATAAATTTAGTTAAAATTAGATTTAGTTCAAACAACATCACCAACTTTTCCAATTTTGTGAGGTGACTTCCATTTCTACTGTTCTGATCGTTTTCTGAACTAGTTGACACCTGTTGGATAACTCCAGATGTACCAGTACCTACATTTTCCTCTGATTCTTCTGGCCAACCGAATGAATCCTTTGTTTTACCATATATTTTCAGGCTGTCAACCATCGTAACAGTATCTGGATCTTGGGAAGGACCGAAGAGAATAGTCAATTTTTTATCAGCTTGAAGACTTTCTTCTCTGGAGAAAGGAATATCATACCATCTACTACGAGTTGCCGTTAGAGGGAATATTCTACCAAATATCTAAGAAAATAACTTTGTGATTTAATTTTCAATATATATTCAAAATACCTACTTCTACAAATGAAGGGCACCTTTGAACATCTTGACTACCAACCAATACTCTAATACCGGTCATAACCATATTGGAATCATTGTTCGTGACTTCAATAGAAAATCCCAGAGCTTTATTACAAGCTACATATAATCCTGTAGTATTCAATCGATGTTTCAATTGTGCTTGATTGTAAATTTGCAGAAGGTCATTTCCTCCTAACTCAACATCATTCATTGCAACACAATGTTCAAAGAAATCAACAGGGAATGTAACAGGACTCGATGTTTTGCCAGTCTTTACAACTTTTTTCTTTTTTGGTTTGAGAGTTGTGTTTGGTATTGATGCTTGAATACTGGGAGACATCCAAAAACCTAACAAAAAACAAATAAAGCGTTGTTAGCAGGGTACATATATATCACATTTTTACTTTTAACACATTCTGCCTTTCACCAATTAAAATAAAGAAAGTTGTCAAGACATAATTTTAATTGCTTTCTAATTAAATCTAAACTAAAACGAGCGAAAATGAAAACATTTTATAATGTGGAACCATACCTGTTTGATCCATATTAGCCATGAACATCTTCAGACTACCATCCTCACATAACAAAATCAATGTTGTTCTCAAATCGTTACCCGAATTATGCCTAATGGCAACCATATCCATTATTTTAGATTTGGAGGGAACAACTTTGATCTCTTGTATCATGAATGTATCTGGTTTCAACATCAGTATAACAGGATTGTTACTAGATTGCATTGCACAACATATCAACCCCGGATGATTGGGAATTTCTGTCCACTGACACAAAGGTTGATTGGTAGAGTTCCTCGATCCATTACTCTTTGAAGCACTATTGTTTGTTGTTGGTAAATTTATGGGAAAAACTAATGGCAGAGTGTTATTCTTTGATAGGATTGGAGAAATGAAGCTCTTGCCCTGAGCATAGCTGTAGAATAAGAGTCCCAAAGTATGAGAATAATATATTGAAACACCACCCCCAGCTAACTGGCCATTCACATCCTAAAATAACAATAATATTTCATATCAATATTTGTTTCCAGCTAGCATTTCACGAACAATTTTTTCATTTGTCAGGAAAAACATTCATTATATTGTTACTTTTGAGTTAAACAAACGATTCATTACAACGTGCTGCTAGACAGGAGGTATCTAAATTAAAGGAGTCTATATCGAAATTCTTAAAATTATGGTATGTGAAATAGTTTACTACGTAATTACATTTAGGTAGCTCCAGTTCACAAACAAGTGCTAGCTGATCTGATATATCATCAAAGTCGACGACATCAACTGATGTTAAATAGCTTAAAAGTATTAACAATAAGCAAATCAATCAAAGTTTGGCTATTATCATTTAACCTTGGTGGTGACTTTATCACCTGATCTAAATTGAAAGAATAAAGTAAGATAGGTAATAAATAACATTTATGATTATGAATGATCAAATCAAAGTTGAGATCTTCTACAATGCAGAAATTATCATTTTCAGGAAAAAATCTCACAATAGCATCCTCTAATCTAATAAATACACTCCAACTTTCATCAACTGTTCGAAGAAAGGACAAACACTAGAGAATAGAACTGTCGGCTTCAAATTGTTTCTATTGTAAAAAGCTACACTACCTCCTCTAGTAATTCTATCGGCACGAAACATGATGAAACCGTTGATTTCTAAACTACCAGTCATTTTAGTTGCTAAGCAATGTTTCACTCAATGCATCAATATCAGTACCATTATTCAATATGTGATTGCGCAAAGTATTAAATACATAAGAAAGAGATCTTATTATATTGAGACATTATGTGTTGCAGAAAATGGTCGCCATTTTGAACATCTTTTGGACTCCTCTATTCAATAAAAAAATTAGGCAATATTGTTCATATTGAAAAAATTTCGAGTAAGTGAACGTAAATAAATGATTTTTTTGTGGTTACAACAATTAATGAATTTTGTATAATTTGTAAAATATCAGTTTTTTGCATAGTATACCTCTTGATAAAAAATGTAGTGAAATGTTTAAACATTTGATACAAATGAATACAGGGTGTTTCATTTGAAAAAGTTGAATTATGTCCGTTTGTATGTATAATGGAAATAATAGTACTTTCAGCACGCCCTGTATGACATAACGTAAATAAATGATTTTTTTGTGGTTACAACAATTAATGAATTTTGTATAATTTGTAAAATATCAGTTTTTTGCATAGTATACCTCTTGATAAAACTGTAACTGAGCAGAACTATTTACCCAAAAAAAGTACTTACTGTAACATCAAGATGGAAAACGTCCAGAGTATTTGTCACATAAAAAGTTCCGTACTTTGTAGAAGATTCATCATTCAAAATCTCTGTGTAAATGTGGCCAGGAGAAGACATTAAAAGTATGTGGTATATACCATCTTCGTACATAAAAGTGCAATCTCTTATCTTGCCACTTGGCACCAAGAAAAAGTACTGCGGACTCAAGGCATCAACACCTAAATCATAGATTTTCACAAAGTCGGCAGTAACCAGGGCTAATTTAGTTTGAGAGCCTGGCAACCAAACTGCTTTTATAATGAAATTACCAGTTTCCAGTTGAGGATGAAGCACTAAATGATCAAAAACAGAACCTCCGGTGGTAAAAGTAAGCACATGGCAATCCTTCAAACCACACACTGCAAGAAAGTCTTCATTGCATAAGTTACTAGACAAGGAAAGCACCGTAAATGGAATAGGTGCTGTTGCGAGCCGAGTTAAAGTCAGTTTTCTTGTGGAAGAGTCTGCTTGCTTGAGAAGAGCTGATAACTGAAGGACGGTAATCTTGCCTTTTTCATGAGATACTGCTAGATGCTGCCTACGACCCTGAGTAGATGTCATGCAGCACATGGCAACTCTTCTGACAATATGGGCTGACAACAGTTGTCGTATCGTTTGTCCCTGTTCACCAGCATAACTCATTCGCACATTTTCAAAGGCCCCTTCCTGTGAACCAAGAGTAGGCACCATGAGCTGATCCGTGTGAACATATTTTTTTTCACTGGAGTACAACTGTTCTAAAGCTTTGACGCCACGTGTGTGACAACCTACAGGTGAATTTTGCCGGCAAGTTTCCTCGACTGCTGGAAGGAGTGTTTGCAAAAACTCTAGCAAGGAACCAGTCACTAAACTTGATCCTAAGTAGTTGACAATGAACTCCTTGGAACCCTCTAGTTGTTTAACGATGCTTCCTGACTTTCGCTCCTTATAAATAATCTAAAAGCCATTGGATATTAATAGAGAAAACAATTATTAAAATTCCACAGACCTTGTCAGCTGAAACAGGAGAAGAAGCTCGTCTACGTAACGAACTAGTTAACATATGTTCAGAACTAAAACCTGCAGTGGGTTGACTTGTTGCGCCACCTACGGACATGTTACTTTCTGTAGACTTGTCATTCCTTTTAACCAATGCCTGACAGGAACCATCTTCCTTAGCTCCACAATCGCAAAAGAAATTTCCATACTTGGCATAACTCAGATCATGACCTTTATGACATACCCTGGCACATATGGAACATACACCAACGCCATCCAGCATTCTACAGGTGTGACAGTGATACCAATGCTGGTTCATGAATTCTTTTTGAGTAACAGTAAAGGTGCACAACTTATTGGAAAGGGAATCTTCATCACTGTCTTCTCCACTATCATCATCTTCATTTGGAAATTCTTGGGATTCAGGATCTATTTCCAAAGGAGATTCACTCTCCCATGGAGGACTAAGAGGCCTAATAGAATGAGGTTGTTGGGCAGTTATACTGCAAATGACATCGCTGACATATTCTAAAATACAGGAAGCTGCTTCTAGCATCGAATTATTCTTTATGCTTTCAGGATCAGTGCTGATTTTTTCAACCACATCTTTAATCGATGTTTGTTTGCTGCAAACTTCAATCCATTCAGCAGTAGCTGGAAATAGGTAGCTGTGACCTACAAACAAGAAACAATAATTTAGAAAACAGTTTTTTCACTTCATGAATTACTAAAATTACTTCTCACCTCTACCAGATCCAGCATCTGCAAGCATTGTCATATCCACCATCAAATCTGTAAAACCAGTACCTTCAAAAGTGGGAGACAGGAGATGTTTGCCAAGCTGTATTAAAGCTTTAAGAATCGTTATAGAAACCTCTTCTGAAACATTGCTATTCTGTTTCACAATAAAACTTGTCAATGCTTGAAGCAACTGGCTATTTTCTTGTACCAAAGACTTCTGATCATCATTGGATGTTGGTGAAGTGGTTTCTTTGCTTTCCACTGCTGCAATTGTCCATTTGGTTCCATTGGAAGGACTTTCATCTTTATTAAGAGTGACTGTAGTCACCGGTGGTTCAATATTATTAGAACCTATTATAATCTGCCTCAACCAGGTTTGCAGCTTTTCACTTTCTACATTCGCTATTTTACTCATACTAGAGCAAAGATAATTCAAACTTGGATCAGTAGAACTTTTTTCTGCAGCTTGAAACAGTTTGTTGAAAAAATGTAATACTTTCGTGCTATATTGTTGGGATGTTTGAGTGCTTGAAACTGACATTAAAACATTTACCAAGTCTTTATCGCCTGTGAAGTAAGATTCCAAGGCTTGTCGCCCAGATGATTTTTCCAATATTTTTTCGTAGAACTTCAAACAATGATGTAGGACTTTTTCGTTGATATGAACACCATAGTTCCACATATTAGGTGATGTACAATTTACAATCAACTTGTATGTGTGATCTAAAACCCTCAAATATACCCGTTTTTGATGTTCATCTGTTTCTGTATCGCCAATCATCTTGTCCAGGGTTTTTGTGACAGTATCATGTAAATATTCTGTTCTCAAATCTAGAGTGATGGATACAAGCATTTCTATAGCTTTATTTTTAGTGTCGGTATTTTCCACCTTGGGGGCGTGGTCACAAATGAATTTTGTCAGACATTGTAATAGCCGTTTCAAAGACAAATTTATAGTGAAGGAATTGCTTATAGAGAGTGTCGAAATATGAGCTTCTACAATCTTCAGTATGAACGTTTCTGATGGTATTATGTCGCCTTGGTAAGATGCCTAAAATGTACAAGGTATTACAGAGATATTTTATTTTAATTTTCATCTATACAAAAGTATGATTTTTGTAACACCATGTAAAAATACCTTTATATGGAATGATAAAATGTACATACCGATGAAACATCATCCAAAATGGACTTGTAAGACTGTAACTGAGCAGAACTAATACTGCTTGGTAGTAAAGAGTTGAATTCTGTGGCTAGGGTGCTTGTCAAAGTATTTTTGGTAGAAGATATAGCAATTACATCTTGTAAACCTTCGAAATCTTGAAGAGAAATCTTTTCAGAAGAATCGCTCTGATCAACAATTGCGTGTAACACTGACCACCTCATGCAATGTAGAATAGCTTGGGTGAGTCTCAGAACGAGCGGCAACAAATCTTGTACATAAGTGCCATCAATCACAACTATAGAAGATGTATCAGAAGTTCCCTCTGGTTCTTCTACAGATACTTGTATTTTTGCAAGAAGAGCATCGAGCAGAAAAAGATGCCACAGCGGAGGAAGATTTTCCTTGGATATCACACCTGAAAATCAAATTTTCGTATATTATTCAAATGGTCAGAGGTGAAATTCATAATGAACTTTTTTTGTCAAAATATAAATCCAATCAGTTTCATGCACTCAAATTCTAATATATTCCTGATCACTCATTGAAGATGGCAGGTGATTCGAGTACTCTTTATTTGTTCTGTAATGTATACAAAGTAATCAACTGAATGATGTGTAGAACCGCACAAATAGTTTCCATATCAACTGTACCAAACTCTATGAAAAAATAAAGTTCTCAGAAGATAACCTGGTTAAAAGTATAGACGATTCATGGCAGACACAGATATAGAATTTTACGAAGCAATTCAAGAGTTGCTTGCGTACGAAAAACAAGGTAGACACACTTATGTTAACCTATATCCTCAAACAAAAAGATATCATTCAATGGTTGAGAAAATGGAGTTGATATATAAACAAATTGATCTAGTTAATGAGATGTTAAACCAATATCCAATGGACAAAAATTCTCCAGTATTAACTCAAGAACAAGCACATTGACTGTTGGACACAAAAACGGTAAATTACCGGAGAAGAAAACCCCACCAACAAAAAGCAAAATACATAATAAACAAAGAAATGAAAAAGCACTGTCAGTCAAACTACTGAATACAGACAAATGAAAATGATGTTTTTGTTAACAATGTCAAACAATATCAAATGCAGGAGACTTCCATATAAATATCTTTAATAATGATAACTACAGGGTGCAAATGTACAAATATTTTCAACTTTTTAGGGATATCACAGAATATCCCCAAATTTACCTGATATACTTTAAGTAGTAGTAGTATTATTGCAGACTATGTTTTAAGTAACTTTGAAATTTTCATAAAAGTCCATAATACTCCTAATATAACAGATCATTCTTTAAATAAGTATCAGGAGTAACCGTAAAATTAATGCTTAAACCATTTAGAAATCTTGGTTCAACTCACAAGGAAAAAATTAACTCAGGAGTTTATCTCCTACAATTTTTTTGTAGATAGTATGAATATCAATACTTTCAATACTTTCCTGGAGCACCTCAAGTCTAAATGTGAATGGGCTTGTTTCATGTTACGGAAAATGATACTGGTTTGCTTATTGCTTATAAACTGATCGATTTAGGGGTATATTATACTTATCAAGCCTAATCGGTCCCAAAATCTCTTTATATTTGCAGAAAAAAGAATAATTCGAAAAGCAAGAATTTAAATTGACCGCGTGTCTGTTGACCAATAAAATTGATCGTGTCTAGAGCGGAGTTGCCAAGTGTATTGGTTTTTGATATCCAATCACAGATCTTATGATCTAATATGACACACGCCATTTTTGTTGTTATTGTTGTCAACTTGGTGTGAATACAACTGTTACAATTATCTAATTAAAGAACGGTTTTTTGTAAAAGGTAGGTCTTGCTGCTGCATATTCCGTGTCATTAGTTTACATTCCGAAAAATATTTTTTCAGGTTATTTTTGGACTGATATGTTTCACTGTACATATTTTTGCTTCTCTTTTCAGTCTTTCCAGCCTTCGATAAAAGACAAAGTCTGAAATGAATATCATATAAATAAAAGGGACCTACTAAATATACCACCTACCGTTTCAATTTTTCATTCTTCATTTCAGTACCAAATGCAAATATTTCAAGTAAAATTCATCGATCATTTCAAAATCGACTCTTGGTAAGATGTCGGGAGTCAGCTTTAACAAAACTAAGCTCAACATTCATTTTGAAATTATTTTAACAAAAATACGAAGTTTGTGGAGACCGTTGACATTAGAAAGAGCACATTGTCGCATTCACTACAGAAGGCACTGGCTGACAATTTGGCTAATATACCAGTAACGTTGAATTTCTTATTTTTGGTGGGTAACATGAATGCATAATTGATTTATTTTATTAGGGTTCATGAGCATTCGAAAACCATTTGAAAGTACAGTTCGTTTGATTCTATTTAGAATCATATTTAGATATAACTTGTACTAGATTATTTGTTTGCTGGCTTCATTCTTAAAAAAATGAATGAATAATTACAGAAAATTTTAATTAATCGTTCATTTTCCCAGGAAAATGGAGTACCCATATCACAATTTATTGGTTTATTCAGCATTCGAAATGTATGTCATATCGGATCCATTCTGCTTATTTTTGCAACATTGAGTTTCAACTTTTTCTTAGCTGACAGCTCCCGTAGGAACAATTCGTTTTTTCGTCGAGTTTAGTTTGTGTGTGTTTTAAAAGTCTTTTAGAAATATATTTGAATATTATTATGGTGCGTTCTTGTGTTGATTTCAATTGTGCGGAAAGGCACAAGAAAACTGAAAGCGCATTGGTTTATAGATGAGTTATTTCATAAAATGAGTTTAGGTTCCCAAAGGATAAAATAATGAGAAAAAAAATGGGTGAAAGTATTGAAAAGAAAGAACTACAATCCTTCTACTCTTCCAAGACTTTATAGAAATCATTTAAAAAGTGAGTATAAATGAAAGGGAGACGAAAATATTGAATTCAATGACAGTTTTTTATTTCAACTTCAAGTATTCTCCACAGAAAGTACTATCTGGAGTTAATACTGTTGCTGATAGTATGATACATTTTACTTCTTTAAATTTTATCATATGATTGATGGTATTACCTCAGAAGCTTTTGTTGGATCAGTTCGAGTACAATCAATTCTGTCTATACTTGACCTCATTCAACCTTCCTCTCAAGTTTTGGAAGATTCAACAGATTACCCAAGCGAGCCTATAACGTTTGCATTTAGTAGCTATATTAGAAAGAGGTGTGTATGTAGGAATCGTTTTTTTTTTATAATGAATTGCAGTTGTACAGATTGAGGATTGTAGAATAAATTGAATATTTGAAATGATTCTTCAATCCAGTTTGCTATATTTTCTGATTTTCATAACTGTATATTATTAAATAATGCATGAAATCATAGTTTAGATGAATATTTTGTGATCTATCGACTTAGTGTACTGATTTTAGATATAGAACTTATTTCCAAACATGATTTTTCATGTACATTTTATTCCATGTGGAGAATTTTTCATTAATTGAAACGTTAACGGGTTCATATACACTTCCATAATTAAATTGATAATTATAGGATCCGTAAATTTTACGATTAGGCAATGTTATTATTTCTATTGTTCCTATTGGTCAATCGAACAAGAAGCGGGAATAGGGGCGTGACGTCACCACCCTACCACATTCGATTTTTAATAATTAATTACGGGAAAACTACGGTATTTTGAGAGATGAAACAAAGTGCACTGATTTTCAATTTGAAATTTCTATCAAGTGAACTATAAACCAAAAATCATGAAACAAGGCCATTGATAGTGAGTAACTTAGTATTGGATCAAATGGTGTATCATGATATTATATTGAACTAAAAATCAAAAGGTCTGATTAAGACCAAGCATATTCATCATTCAAATGTGACAGAACAGAACAAAATTGTCAAAATTTCAAGAAATCTCGTAATAAGTCTGTAAACTCACTGAAAACTAAAGAAACACACATTTATGAAAAAAATAAATCCACTGTTGATGTGCAAAAAGACTTTAAAATTTTCGTTTTATAATGGGATATATTTGAAAAATAAGAGAATGTCAAATAAGAATAATAAGGAAGAATGATGAAATGGCAGAATGTTTCCATATTGTTTTATTGATAGCATTGAGGATATACTCAAGAATACTGATGAGACTAATGTGATTATTGTTATTAGAACACACCTTTTCACAGCTTCAGAAAATATAATTTTAGCTGATCTTACTATGCATACTGTTTCCACCTAATGCATTTTTTGACCGATACGGGCAAAATTTTCATAATTTATTCAATCCCATCCACATAATGATGAAGAAATATTTCATTTCTTCGTTATTCGTATCCAACCGTTATTGAGTCTAGCTTTGGGGCCTCAAGTTTTGATGTGCATATCTATTAGTTTTCTCCACAATCAACTCAACAATATCATCATTCACAAAGAGATGAAAAAAATCTAGAGGTTTCTGTCATACATCTCTAATATGTCAAAAATGATACCAGATTTCTGAATATTTATATTTTCAGGTTCTCGCCATTTAAATTGCTACATGTCGATAGTGTTTTCTTCGTGTCAGCATCTTCTGATAACATATTCGAAAAACACATTTTATTGTGAGATTTCCACTGGAAATTTTACGAAACTGCGACACATGTTTCGCTATACAATAGCATCTTTGGGCGTCATAGTATTGTTACGCCCATACCACTGATAATATCTGTCATAGTAGCAGATGAAACGTTTAATATTCCAGGTTTCATTTGACAATGGTCTACTAGCCCGGATTTTGTTTCCTTCAATATTGTAATTGTTTGTTTCCTTCAATATTGTAATTGTTGTATGTAAGCATAGAAAAGTCATACTGATTATTCAATTTTATACAAGTATTCATGTTTTTCACACATTCAACTCTTCTATCTGTTTAAAATCTGTTTTTCCGTTAACCAGTTGTCGCATCCCTACGAACGACAACCCTTAGTAGGCAAAACTTGTGCAAGCTAAGGATTAACGAGGTCTTACCTTTTAACGTGTGATTCCTAACACGGGTTGGACGATAGCAAGTGAAAATTGATCGTTCAGACCGGGGCTTGAACCACCGACCAACACGGCAGTCAATTCAAGTGAGTGAACAAACCACCCACGTCGAACCGCTTGGCTACCGACCAACTTAGAGGTAAGGTGAGGTTAGCTAATGAGTTTAAGTTGTGTTGTAAAGAAAACATCAAATTTCGGAGTTTGAAGTTGGGCTTTCCAAATTACATCACAAAGTGAGGTTAAAGCTTTCCATCTCCTAACCACGAAAGCCAAGTTCCATTTGTTGTGAGACATTAGTCTCATTGACGATTCAAATAGGCCCCAAACAAAAAATTTATTTTTAGTCATTTTTTAAAATCTAAAATAGTAAGAAAAGAAACTAGTAATAGTAACAACCGCTGATGATAGCCTCAAATATTGAAGTATCTAGTTTGATTTAGTCGACATTATCTGTGACATCACCAGCCCAAACTTGAGCGAAATCCTAACTCGTATAAACTCAAACTGAGCGCAACTTGAATTAACCCAAGTTTACCCATCTTCACGTATGTGGTGGAATTGGCTGATGATGACAATTCATGAATCATTCAAGTAACACTTTACAAAACCGCTATTGTGAATTGTCCAGTGAAAATCTCACAATAAATTGTTACTTGAATGACCATCTTCACTTCCAGGTAGTTTTGATTTTATTATTTGATGGTATGAATTTCATTTGATTGAAGTTTCTGTGGTGATACTTTGGGTAGTTATATTGTTTTTGATATTTGTTTGACTTAGTCCTTGAGTTAATTATTAAAACTATTATATTAAAAAAACACATCCTAGTGGTTAGAATGTCCGATTTATAAATAGTCTGGGTCTAACTCCGCTCTAAACAAATTTTGAGAGAGTTTATAGAGACTAGTAACTGGTGAAGCTTCCGCGTAGCGAAACACGTATTAAATTCAACTTATTGTATTCTACAATTATTACCATGAACCTGACAGATACTCATAATTTCATTACAATTATCCAAAGAACTGCATGAGATTTCAATCAATTAGTTTCAACCTAATGAAATTTTATTTCTGATAATAGGAAATCAAATATACCTTTCTTGACATCTGGTGTGAGTGCAATCATACAATTTTTGGCGTTTGTGGTGTCATATTTAGAATTGCAAACAGTATCTGAAACAGCCTTCAGCAGTTTATCGGTATGTTGTGTATACATTCCTTGCTTCACTAAACAATCCTTCAGCCACCTGTTGAAATTTTTGTGAGAAGTTCGAGGGCCCCATACTAAAGAATGCAGCAAAAGTGGGCCTGCAACTAAGCTCTCTCCAGTCGCTAACCTTTCCATATAAGATATGGAAGGGGGTAATAACTGTAACAATCTGAAAATAAAAAGATTAAATCAGGCTACATTCAAAGAGAGTAAATTGGCTCAGGCCCGGATGTAAAGGTGTCAGAGCTTTTTTCCGGATTTGTTGGCCAGGGTCTTCAGGTTTTTTAGTCTGACGTTTTGTCTACTAGTGCAATAGACATTATTCAAAAAAAACAGAAGTTGGAAAAAATCCCGTTACGTAAAAAAAATGCCTCTTTCTGAGCTTATTCAATATTTCAAATTTCGTAAAAATAGCTTGCGAAATGACGAAAAAATGGGTGGGGTGGGGAGTGTACAATGAGTCTGTGTCACCTGGTATTTATGATCATCTTTGGCGTCATTTCATTGTGTTATAAATTACGAATTTTCTTTTTGTATTCATGCACACAATTTTAAAATAATAAAGTTTACTATTATTATGGGTCGAATTGAATGGGCACATTTTAGGAGTGTAGCTCAGTACAGGTAGCTAGATTTCACTGATGTTAATTCCCTCTTGTTTTCTATCGAAATGATTCATGTATTTTTGAGTTTCTGTCGCTCCCTATATAGTCTTAACAAGTAGGCCTGAGTTGTGTCAACCACTTCTGTCACCCCGAACACAATAACATGGATACCCCCTCAGGAGACACTCTTGTATGTTCAGAGTCAGGTACATAAACTTATCTTTGTGGGTCCAATGTAAACCGATTCACAGCTACATGGGATCTGGTCTTGCTACACTAAGGGTAACCAGATTCTTCGCAGCTGTGGATCAATCGACATTGGAAACATGAAGTGTAAGCACTCGGTTCTTTGAACAAAAGAGCAATTGTCGCTGAGGTCATACCGATAGATCAGCAGTAGCGGAACTGGCACTCAGAGAAAGAACCAGAGAAAACAAAATGAACATCAATAAAGTCCGGCCACTTGCATTAATTTACACTCGTAAACTGAGATAATTCAATTTGACCAATAGAAAAGAAGCAACACCCAACACCAATGGAATAAAACGGGAGACTCAAACGTTGAATGTAATATATCTGCTGAGGACAACCCGAACACTTCATCCGTTACTTCATCGGCTTTGATAATCTCTACGGCAGTAGTATATGAAACGTTCGGCTTGAAGCCCTGCAGATTATGGCCAACAAACCCGGAAAATAGCCTTGACATAGCCATAGCCTTGCACAGATTATCAAATGATTGCTTCTAACCTCCAACAGATTGTGAAGCAATACTGTGCTGCACAAAGACCCAAATAAGTCATTTTTGAAGCATTGACACCCGAAGTGACATGAGTGATGTTCAAGATCTCAATTAAAGCATCCAACAGCAACGGGTAACGTAATTTGTCAGGCGTTCCAAGTATAAAGTTACAAGCGAGGCCATCCAGTTTGGGTGCTTCTTGATTGTTCATTTCAGAACTTGTCAAAACATAAAATCGAGGTTTCATTGCAAATTCGTCAGAGGTGGAGTTTTTTCTGAAATTGTCTTCAATATTTTGCCACGATGTATACATTCTAGTCATACTGTTGTCTTTATCTTTGTCGACATTCAAGCTTGTTGAGTAGAATAAATTCCACTGAATCTGAAAAAAAAAATGAAAATGAACCATTTATTTCTATCTTTCAAATAAATAGTAAGTTTTTATTTTGTGTTTCTTGGTAACCTTCATAAATATAAAACAATAAACTATTAGTCACAAACCTAAGCTCCTTCATGTCATACATACATTTTTAATGGCATAATTGTCACTTTTCCTCTTATTACAAACTTTCATTTAACTTGCTTTGTTCTCAATATGTATGTATTATATATTATGTATGTAATAATAATTATATCAAAATGGTACTAATGACATAATTTGTCATCAGTAAAAACCTTCACCATATGCATTTAATCAGAAAATGCACCAAGAATAGTTAGTTTATGTACGCTCTACATAAAATATTTCTTATCTGTGATTTCATTTATCCCATGTCTACAAATTGTTTCAACAAATAAATTCAAACCATGTAAAAAATTCATCAATATTTTGTCTACATGAGCTTGACAATGTTACTTGTTAGTTTAAAATATTAGAAATGCAAGAAAAAAAGAGAAATAATAGCAAAAAAGATGATGTATCACCCTAAAAAGAAAAAAATATCTACAGTCAAGGCTATAAATTCCTTATGACAGAGAATTGTTATTAAGTATTACAAAAAGCATACGAAAAAGATGTTATAACGTGGGGAGTAAAGCGATTGTTTTTATACGACCGGGGCCAGTGTAATGATCTTCGTTCGGGTTTGAAGGCCGTCGTGGTTTGGCCTTCAAACCCGAACGAAGATCATAACACTGGAAGTCCTGGTAAAATCGCTGAACTGATTGTGGATGAGTTCCAGAAAGTCTACACCTTGGAGCCAGACATTGATGACAGCATACCCTGTCGTCAACCAACCAGTGAGGACCCTTGAAGACATATCCTTCACAGTGATCGAAATTGCTCAAGTCTGAACACAAACTCTGCACCCGGTCCTGATGGAATTCCAGCAATCTATCTCAACTCATGTGCAACGTGACTGGCACCTATTCGGAGAAACATGTTCGAAGCCTCAATGTCCTCGGGAGTGTTGCCAACGGCCTGGAAAGACGCAATAATAACTCCGATTGAACAGATCATCGTGAAGAGGATACGTGAGTTCCTTGATGGTGTTGACATTATTCCGCAAAGACAATACGGCTCCATGTCCGGACGCTCAACAGTGACAAACCTCCTGGAAGCGAAAAATGTCTGGACCAAGGCTCTTGGCGAGGGTAAGTCGATGGACGTAATTTACTTGGACTTTGAGAAAGCTTTCGGCAACATTTCACACAAAAGGCTGCTCCGAAAGCTCTTCTGTCTCGGCATTGGTGCAAACTGCTTGCTTGGAACCGCAACTACCTTACAGGCAGGGTTTTTCGCCTGAGAATCAGAGATTCAACATTAACTGCGAAGTCTGTGTACAGTGGAGTCCCCCAAGGCCTAGTCTTGGTACCACTTCTGTTCATCTTGTATACACGATACTAGCGTCCCGCCCCGGCTCCGCACGGGCGCAATTCTGATACTAAATATACATATAAACGCGTACAAACCATGCCATAGGGTGAAGCGCGACCTTCGATGTGCTATTTATAGGCAAGTACCGCCAGCCCCTCGGCCAGCGCCATCGCAACGTCCCAGCATTTCAAATGTGTAATATCTTCGAAAATGTTCATTTAAATTACATGCTACTGTAAAGAGTCATATTGATCTATATTAAATGCACAGTTAAGGTACTTAATTGGATAAGGATTAATGGTGTATTGCTTAAAATCACTTCGTAAATGAGCCATTATGTCCCGAGGATAAAAAATTGTTATTGTGGGTTATCCCAGCTCTATAACATATTGTTTTTTAAGGGACATTTTGCATTTATTCTCAAAAAATTCATAAGAAACTGTACTTCTCTCAAATAATCTATATATCCATTCCATTCAACCTACTGTGTAAGTATATACGAGACTGGCTTGAACGTTTAAAGTTCATTTCTTTAGATTTGTTTACTGCCAGTTTTCAAGCATAGCCCACTGACTAATAAGAAAGTATATTGATCTATAATACAACTGCATCTGAAATTCTTAATAATCTACTCTCTTTCTTATTTCCAAGGAATATATCACATTCAAGCTTGAAATTCATTCCTGCATGATTAGAAATAGATCAAATATTTTCATTCGACAGCAATACAAGCAGGCTTCAATGAATTCTTTGTTTTTTTAAAGGTGGACATTACGCAGCATACTGCAGACAGACACCCCTACACTGGCACATGGCCGAATACAACTATTCACACGTCATCAAAATCGCCTTTGAGTCGAGAGAAAAATGTCCTTTTTTATAAATAGGAGAGAACGAAGTCACATCTATCAGCTGGATTTACTTTCAATGAATTGATTTGTATTTCAATGAAATTACAAAAAATAAAAATAAGCAAAAAATTCATAATTTAACAATTAAAATGAAATAAAAATTGAAAAGATTTCAAATCAAGTTACTTTTGTATTCCATAGTTCTGATAAAGAATACCGTTTTCAAAGAAAAAAAATAATAACAAGCTACCCAATGAAATGAAGAATATTTCATCACTTATAGTTTTCAAAAAAGCAATTAGAAAGTATATACATAGCGTAAGGTAACTATTTTATCAATTGTTATGTTAAGATCAACTTTATTAAATTTGATTATATATACTACTGACCCTTGTCAGTAGTATATATAATTTTTTCAGTAGTTTTTATGCATGTGAATATGTTTGTATATTAGGATATCCTTTGAGTGAATACATTCTGCTTCTTTTCGAAAGGTATAATGTATAATTTAATTCTGTAACATTAAGCATCTTATTCGGCACCAAAAACATACTCCTACTATCGACTGGCGATGCGAGCCAGCGCGTCAATGTCCGAGCCACTTTTTGGTTTAGAAATCGCGCGTTCAATGAAAAATTAAATATATTTTATATCTTACCAGAACCTCTTGCCCTTGTAATATTAATGATTTTTTTGAAACCCCTTCCCTTCCTTTCAAGCCTCACTTGAATAATGGGCAATCCCACACACATTTTTTTCCTTTTATATTCGCAATGCCAATAGTAAAATTTGGCCCAATGCTTATTTACAGAATTTATTGAAAAAAAATGACCCTCACCTGTTCCAATAAAGATGTTGGTGCATCATAAAGATGTTTCATTATGTAATCAAAGAGAAGGAGTAACCTAGACAGGTGTAACAATTGTGAATCTTTTAAAGGCCCTCTTGCTATTTCCGAACATCTCAGCACTCCTCCAGCCATGAGAAGAACAACAGATTTCTTCTGCATCAATGTTAAAGAATGAAACAGATAAAGAAGAACTTGAGCATGTTCCACATTCAAATCTGAAAAAACATCAAAAGATATACAGTGTGGACTAGTGAAGTTTGCATCATATGAAAGTTTTTTTATTAATAGCTTTAATGAAAATTCAATATATGTTTCGCTATACAATAGCTTCATCAAGCATTTTCATACTGTCACTTCCTACCAAGATTTTCACTAGACACTTAGTATGAGAACTCTTGAGAAAGCTATTGTATAGCGAAACACTTGTTGTGGTTGTTTGCGATTTTGTAAATTGTCTAGTGAAAATCTCACAATAAAATTTTATTTGAATACTACAGTGTGTCCGGAAAGTATGGAATAAATTCGATATTTCCAAAACCAAAGGTCGTTTTACAAAATCCTGAAACACGTCGATTTTTAATTTTGATGAATTTCACTAGTTCGGACTTCCATTGTCTATTATATAAAATGATTTGAAATCCCTGAAACACTTTTTTATTTTTGATTATTTTCTTTTTGCTTTCCTTTAATTTTTATTTATTCAATTATTATATTTTTACTTGTAGGTTATTTCACTATCATTTCATTTCAGGTTTATTGTTGCTTAATATAATTGTTATTTTCAACTATTCTTTTTAATTATTCTTTTTTTACTTGTTTCAGGGATTTCAAATCATTTTATATAATAGACAATGGAAGTCCGAACTAGTGAAATTCATCACGAAACATTGTCAATCACCTTCAAACAAACCTTTAATTTTGATATTCTACATTTTACAACTAAATTTCATTATATAGGGTGATCCATATTGTGATGACGTCATCGTTTTTTTTAATGCAACACCCTGAATTTGGTGTCACTTTTAAATAATCCGTAACGAGCTGATTCCAATAAATACATGACGTTATTCTAAATGTTCGAACTGTAGTCCTTGCTGTAGTTGACAGTAACCGTGCTAACAAGTATTTCTTATTAATTTCAAAAAACTAGGCGGCTAGTTTTTTTTGTTACTGTGAAATGTCATTATTTCGATTGACTTTCAGTAACTGTTAAATCGGACAGTAGTTGTTGTATTAATTCGTGAATTTTCTGTAGTATTGCTTCGAATTAATTTGAAGTAGTAATTAATTCAATGTAAAGCAAAGAATTGAAATACTTATGATGATTGGCTGTGGAGACAGATCGCTAACTCAGGTGGAAGTGTGTAACTTATTTAATGGAAAATATCCAGAAAGACGCATAAGGCAGTCAGCAGTAAGATTGAAAAGAAATTTCGAGAAATTGGTACAGTTGAAAATGCACACAAATCAGGTCGTCCTTCTGTAAATGATGATACAAAACTAGATGTTCTACTTGCTGTTCGTAAGGTTAGTCATGATTTCGATGTCAGTAAAACAACTGTACACAAAGTATTAAAATTGGAAAAATGGCATCCCTTTAAAATCGAACTTCTACAGGAATTAAACGAGGACGATCCAGATAGAAGAATAGAATTTTGTGAAGCCATGATGGATAACTGTCACCGAGACCGTCTCCTCGTAAAAAATATAATTTTTCTGATGAAGCCACTTTTACGTTAAATGGTGGGGTCAACCGTCAAAATTGTAGGTACTGGGCCAAAGAAAACCCCCACTGGATGCGTGAGCATTATACACAATACCCGCAAAAGGTAAATGTTTGGGCTGGCATTGTAAGAAACAGAATAATCGGACCCTACTTTTTCGACGGTACTTTAGATGGGCCAACATACCTTCAGTTTTTGAGGCGATATCTTGTACCTACTTTAATTAATTCATTCCCCAGTAGAATCAATCCTGGAAGTTTTGATGAAAGTTTATGGTTTCAACAGGATGGTGCGCCTCCACATTATGCTGCAGATGTTGGAAGGTATCTCGACCAAATGTTTACGAACCGATGGATTGGTAGACGTGAACATATTGAATGGCCAGCAAACAGAAATAAACAATATTTCTCAAGAAACCATAAACAAGATTGAACAAGAATTTATGTATTTATAACTGGATTACTTTCCCATTGTTAAATTAATCAGAAATTCTTATACTTGAAAAATGAGCTTCACAACACTCCTTTACCCACACTGAAAAATATGGAGGAGAAAATAAGGGTAATACTCAAATGTTATTACATAATCAATCATGTTGCCTGTAAGATTTTAATATGTTTCCAAAAAATTTCAAAACAGGGGTTACTTCTCAAAACATTGGAAAAACTTATTAGATAAGTTTTCTTGAAAAATTCAATTGCAAAAGATGATTTTGATCTGCACATTTTTTATGAATTGCATGGGTTTCCAAATAAAACTCGACACAACCTATATAAACCTTCGTTTTGATTCCAGACACATTTTCTTCAAAGTGAATAAAATATTGGATTTTGTTCACTTATGATGCCAAGTTCATTTGTTTTCGATCCTGTATAAGGTATAGTCCAAAAAAAAAAGCACTTTTCCCAATCCCCAGAAATGCAATACTCTTCTCACCGCGCGTTTCACCAACCAAGTTGGCATCTTCAGGAGATGAAAACCCAGTTTTTTTCAGACTATAAAGAAAGCCCAGTTTTATTCAGTAGATGCAGAAACCTTAGTTTTCTTCAGAAGATGCAGAAATCCCAGTTTTCTTCAAGAGATGAGGAAACCCCAGTTTTCTCCTGAAGACGCCAACTTGGCTTGGGGAACGAGCTCTGAGAAGAGTATTTATTGCATTTCTGGTGATTGGAAAAAGTACTTGTTTTAGAATTTATTGTGAATTATTCCCTGAAAAAATAAGGCCGAGCCGCTTGTCTTTACCAGTAGGGCGGTAGCCGGTCGGGTTGACGCGGGCGTTTTACTCCACTCACTCAATCGACAGCTATGTGAACCGGTGGTTCAAGCGACGATCGATTATCACTTGCTATGGTCCAACCCGTGTTAGGAATCACACCTTAAAAGGTAAGACCTTGTTAGTCTTTAGCTCGCACAAATTTTGTCTTTTGTCGTCCGTAGGGGGGCGACAGCTGGTTAACGGAAAAACAGATTTTAACAGTCAATTGTGAATTGGCCAAGGTGGCGCTCAACCCAACTTGTGTTATTTTCGTTTGAAAATTGTTGACAATGTTTCATGGTGAATTTTACTAGTTCGGACTTCCATTGTCTAATATGATATATATAATATATGTATCGCGCCGCTTCGAGAATATTTCTATCAGCTTTGAAGACTTCCATCGAGATATATAAGCACTACTAACAGGCAGAGCCGCACTACTAACAGGCAGAGCCGTACTCTTACCACCTGACCTGAAAGACCACGCACCATACAAACTAATCAGCTTCGTTAAGATGCTGAGTTTATTTGGTTGAGTGTGAATAGGTGTGAGCCACAATAAACCCTTGTGGGTTGGGGTGAAGGATTGAATAGACCCATTCAGTTTGGACCTAACCTAACATAATTCACAGGATGAAGAGACTTATCTACTTCGGGAAGTTCAGGCGAATTGAGTTAATAAGGCTATTGACATTTGTGTATTAGTTTTTATTTTATTTTCCATACAGACTTAATAGCCTAATTACATGGAAATTCTTATTACAAATTGATTGTGTGAGCTTGCTTCCATACACTGAAATATTTATTTTCAAACTTATTCTCTACATCACAGTTATGTTTCTAATAAATAATTAATAACATCATATCTGAAACCTGAGAATTACTGAAATCTAAATTTTTTTTAAAACATTAATTTCATTTGCTTTACAAAGCATGGTTGAGAGAGGACTCAGTTATTTTTTTACTTGCCTTGGGTAGTTTAAAAAGGATTAGACTATTTGTAGGATACTGAGGAACATTAAAATCTATGAGTTCGAGTATGTTTGTATCTGTAATACTGTTGTTTATCACCTTATGTAAAAACATTATTTGTGTTACATCCCGTCTAATATATAGAGATGATATTTAGAAATGCTTGCCAGTATAGTAGTGAAATAAAGTTGAGTTTAATTGTACAGTGTGATCAATTATTGTCAAACCCTCGGTGAAAACAGATTTATTGTATGTTAGAGACTCCAGTTTCACCTTTCATTTATTCGTGTACAACGTAATATCATAAAACATCAATTTTTGTGTGTGGGTTTTGCCTAAAAGTAATACTAATTAATAATGAAAAAATAGTTTAACTTAAGAGTCAAATTCTTTGATTAAAAAATAAAAATATGAAAATTAAATTCTTTTGAAATGTTTCACTCAATGTAGACTTTACTGATGACAATGTATCCTTGTTTGTGATGATTACAAAGTTATACTTTTAGATACAAATTATCTTTTCAAAAATAGATATGTCATGAAGTTACCTTATACAGGAAAAATTGATAAACTTTGAGTCTCATATTTTGGATTTTATATGGTGCTTCTTAAAAAACATTCTGGAATAAATTATTGTCAAAACTGAGAAGTTCGTAAATACCTGAATTTTTGTATATGGACTTAAACCTAATTTAGAAGAACTTTTTCTGGTTTTTTGAGAAATAACTTCAGCTTTGGATTTTTTTGTGTAAAAAAAAATTACAGATAATGTGAAATTAGGTAACTACTATTTTTTGATTATGTTCCGTCTCATAATGTTATTAATAATACACTCTATTTACTGACTAGATACAATTTTCAATATATCAATCAATTAGTTGCTAGAGAAACTGCTCAATGTTTTCCTAATAATTAGACTCTACTGCTTTCCAATTATTGTTCTATAATATATAATAATCAGTTTTACCTTCATTATCTAAATCAGTGGAAGACGTTTGAGGAGTGTTCATAACATTTTCTATTAGGGTATTAACCAGTCTATGCCATATACTGATAACAGATGCTTCCTTCTCATTTTGTGGCCTCAACAACAATACCTACAAATACACATAAAATTAAATGATATCTGAATAGTAATAAATTCATATCTCAATTCTAATTACCTGAGCTAACACAGCCAATGTCCTTGGATAGACCTGCAATGGCCAAGCATCAGAATTCCAAGGAGATACTCCAAGATGATTCAGGAGGCACGCTTGTAAATTGTTCAGGCTGTTGTTAGTTATAAGATTGTGAGTGAATCTTGTCAAAGCTCCAGAAAATTCACAATACAGCTGCCCTAGAGTGGCCCCAAAATATACTGAAATGGCCCCTGAAATGAATAATTTTTTAAATTAATTTGCAATATAGATAATTGATGACAATTTGGCACTGGCTATCAAAGAAGACTATTTGCTAAATGGTGGAATAGATTGGATTAATTGAGGACTGCGAGGGAACAAAGTTCCAGATTCTTACATTACTGTAAATATTTGCTGAAAGTAAGCTGTCTTATTTCAGAAATTACAAGGATAGCAAGCACAATAAACAGCAGTTGGGTATAAATACTAGTGTTTTCAACTTGTATTTTTGATGCACAGAATGGAAAGAACACTGTATTCAAAAAAAAATCAAAGACATATATTATTCATTTTATCATTACATGTTCGATACCATGTAGCTGGCCTATGAATGAGTAAATTTCTTTCTTTCTTTCTATTAAAAATACCCTAGTGAAAAGTAGTAATCGTGTAAATTTCTGGATTATTTGTCTACTAATTTATAAACAGATATATTTACTAATCTAATTTGAGTGAATCGAAGTTGATCAACACACAAATCTCATGTTCACTCTACATAAGACTTGATAAAACAGATCTATTTTTGAGGTAGTTTTAATAATAAAAACCGGATTATACATCTAAACAAACTGCTTCGAAATAATATAATAATAATGTTTATTCACAGATATATCATTAAAGGTTCTATTTAATAGAGGGTACAGTTGAACAAATACACACAAAAGTCACTTGTGTGTGATAACATGAATATGACACATAATAACAATAAACACCTAAATAATAATAATAATGAAATATTACATTTTCACAATGTCATGTTGAAATATCTCAATAATAAATTAAGTATAGTAAAACCAATAATGATTGAGAGTAAAGCGCGTTGTCATATCTAAATTTTACGTATGAAGTGTTAAAAATNAGAACATAAATATGACATTTTCACAATGTCATGTTGAAATATCTCAATAATAAATTAAGTAGTATTGAAATATCGATCAGTTTTTAATGATTTAATTTGATGGAGAAGGTGTGATTTGATCCAAACTAAAATTTTCACAAATGAATAAACAGTCGAGCAGAGGTACATAGAAAATATCATCTACATTTGTGTATTAATTTTGTTGTAATATGTTATTTTTCAATATTTTCAATTATTTGGTGAATCTCTATCTGGTTCCTCTGATATACATATGTTTTCAATTTTCTACTGAATTTTGATATCCGCTGTTGAATTTTCATTTCATCAGGAAGAGTGTTGAAAGCCCTTGGACTCAGAAATTGATGACTTTTCTGGCCTACTGACATGCTCATTAGTGGTTGGACAAATCTGTTTTTTCCTCTGATAGAATACGTATGATCCAGGTTGAAAAGGGCAAATTTATTTTGGAATACTGCAATATTCAGCTGTTCGAGATATATTTGTATCAGACCAAAGTTTTTGTGTCATTTGGTGAATCGCTCTCCGGTTCCTCTGATATACATATGTTTTCAATTCTCTTTTGAATTTCGATATCCGCTGTTGAATTTTCATTTCATCAGGAAGAGTGTTGAAAGCCCTTAGACTCAGAAATTGATGACTTTTCTGGCCTACTGACATGCTCATTAGTGGTTGGACAAATCTGTTTTTTCCTCTGGTAGAATACGTATGATCCAGGTTGAAAAGGTCAAATTTATTTTGGAATACTGCAATATTCAGCTGTTCGAGATATATTTGTATCAGACCAAAGTTTTTGTGTCATTATATACTTGATCACCACTGGAGTATCTATTATTTTTATTCAGAATGATTTTCAAGAATCTTCTTTGGGATACTTCCAATGCAACAAGGTAACTTCTTGAGACCCTGCCCCATCCAAGGGTACCGTATTTCAAGTTTGGTTCGACAAGACTTTTGTACAAAATGATTTTTTGATTTTGGTCCATCTACTCCGTCATATACTTAAATCTATATAGAATGCATCGCAATTTTTACAATAGATAGCTAAAATGCTGATTCCACCAAAGATGTGAATCTATGATGATTCCAAAAAATATAATTTTTTCCTTAGGTTTTATTGTACATTTTGTTAAAAAGATATCAAATGTAGGAAGAAATGTATCTTGACAGTTAAATGGTAGATAGTGTTTTTTCGAAATTTATTAATAAGAAGTTAGTCGAACCACATCTTCAATTTATTGATGTCTGTTTAAATTTTATTTTTCAGGTCATACCAGTTGTTATCTGTATAAAAAAGGCAGTATCATCAGCAAAGCTTGAATTTCAATATTTACACATGGTCTGTTAGATAATTCTCTAATAATTCATATGATGAACCTCTTATACCCATGTCCTCAAGTTTTCGTAGAAGAATTGAATGGTCAACGGTATCGAAAGCCTTTGTGAGATCTATGAATACTGCTATTGATGGAATACTTTTATCTAATGCATTGTATATGTCCCCTCCCTAAAACAGCATTGCGTTGTTGAAAGTAATTTATATTTGTTAATGAATTAGCTCAATGTAGTTTTCAAAATTTTTTCTAATATTTTGCCGAGGTTTGAAATTAAGGAAATAGGTCCATAATTACTCATATCAGTTTTATCTCCGATTTTATAAATAGGTGTGAGTACCAATAGCTTTAAGGCAGAGAGAAATTCACCTGTTTCCAGAAATTGATTAATTATAATATAATGTACAATATTAAAATTAAAAATCGACGTGTTTCAGGTTTTTGTAAANTTTTTTACCGGTTTACTGGTAGGGCTTGGCAAATGCCTGCTGGAAAGCAACTGAAAATACCATGACGAATTGGATTAAATTTGACAAAAACCATTGTACAAGTTTTCTTGTAGGGGAGTCTCGCAATTGATTTTTGTTATACAACAGCAACTCACTTGATTCAATCAAGTGATACAGGGGTTTTAGAGTATTACTCCTCATCAGTGCAGAACATATTCAACCACGACATCATTGCCATCTACAGAACTTAAAATGAAACCTTATGTTTATTCAAATAATGCCTCACTATTTTTCACTACAAACTTACCAGTTTCTGTTCTTGCTGTTTCTCTGTCCAAATCTCGGATGATGGCTGATAAAATGATCATTTGTTGTTCCGTTAAGCCATTCTTTACATATCTTGCAATAAAGTTACTTTTGGAACACAGAAAATGTTTATTCATAAACACAAAAATACTGGTGGCTAGGGATATGTAACCATGGGCTTCGCCTTTTTCAGGAACTATCGACATAGAACGGTCATTCTGAGCTGTTTTAGTCTCAGCATTTTCTGATGTAGACGGTGTTTTTGAATCTGTCGTTTCTGGTGGTGCAAGGGTCTCTTCGAACCACTGTCCCAAAATGGGTTCGCTGTCATCATCTTAAGGAAAATTAACAATTATAATAATCATTTTTTTAAATATCCATATAAAAATATAATATAAATATATTAAATTACAATAAATCGAACACAATAATGATTCAAATAAATTAATTTAAATTTCAGTATGTTCCAATGCAAAGTTATGAATTCAATGAATGATTTAGTCTTTTTTCGTGATTTAAGTAACTTGCTATACACACAATTAACAATCTCAAAGAAATTATCCGGGGCATAATTTGTTTTCTGCCTGTCCCGTATTTATGAATTTCAGATATAAAACTTGAATTCTGATTTCAGAGGTTATGTCTCACGACAAATTAAAAAAATTGTCGGTAATGACTAAAAATATATATGGACTCTATTGTACATTTCAAAGATGATACCTTCATCAGTTGAGCTCTCATCAGAGCACAACATCATATCTTCATAATAGGTAGTTGAGTCAGACTGACTGAAAGTATCTCCTTCTGGTGGATGTAGTCTTTTAAGAGTACACGCCTTCCTATAACTAACAATAGCTAGGTAAAACAGAAGATGGTTCAAAGGTGCGGCACTCAGTATTCTCGATACTCTCTGCAAAGCAGTAAATTGTCCCATAATAGCCAAGGGTGCTGGCTCAATCTGAAAGAGAAATAAAATAATTAACATAATTTTCATTTATACTGTAGATCAGACACAATTACCTGTACGATGCTGCCAGCTCCTCCGCATACTTCTAAATGAAGATCTTCGAACAATTCTGACAATAAATTTAGGGCTTTTGTGGCCAATGCAACAGAGAGTACTCCAAAAGACTGCTGAAATTTCTGCAGTCCAGATCGTGCAGAATTTGTATCCCTACTTTTGCAGGGGCTTCTACCTTTCTCGTCCCTTTCTCTTAGGTGAGGATTTTTTTCTGAAGTAGTGCTAGCTGTTAAATGGGTTTGAAGACCTGATATGAGAACCCATGCTCCTGCTAGTAGATAATTTTGATACACCTGTAAAAGGTAATATTTCCAAATGAGGAAAACATAGTAATGAAGGTGTGGAACAAAGGCATTGCAATAGCAGGCTTGGTAACCAATTTCTTCTACTAAAATGTAGGAAAAGTAGTAGTATCGAAAATTAGGAAAAATAGAACTCTGGAAAAAGCAGAGACTAAATCTAATGACCACTCAAAATAGACTCCTGCTCCTTCGAGCTAGACACTAAGTAGTCTAGCAAGGTACAATTTGTGAGCTTTGATTTCTTTTTAACAAAGTATCTATGGAACTATTCATTATAACGTTCAAGTCATCTTTTGTGGACTGGAGGACACTAACTGAAGCCTCTGAAAGACAAATTCTGGGCTTGTTAATGAATTTGTCATAGTAAAATAGCCACACAGATCATTGACTTTTCGGTGACATCGAAGTAACATAGCTCTTTTATGCATTGGACCACTTAATAACATGAAAAAGATGTGAAAGAGACAAAGGTTCGCCCCCATCCAAACCCCATGTATGAGGTAAGACGAGTACAGCTTTCACAAGCCTAGTGAGCTCAACCAGCAAAAATATTTCATTCCATTAAAAATCCATTCTTTGATAGCTGACTATAAGAATAACGTATCTGAACGTACAACCGTCATGTATACAAAGAAAATTATTTTTGTAAGATCTTTGATTCTGAACTGAGTTATCTCTGGCACAATGTATTAATGTGGGGTTCTTCTGTGGGGGCAAAATGAATTTTAACTGTTCAAAAAAGAATAATTAGAACTATCTTTAATATTGCACCCAGGGATAGCTGTAGACCTGCTTTGTGCAAGAACAAGATGCTAACAACTAACATCACCCGAAGATGATTGTAGATACTAACAATCGAAACGTCGTGAACTAACGTGAC